CTTCTGCTCATTGAATCCTGCAGAAGACTTTTGCAAGTATCATTGGACCTACAGGTGTTCTTTTCCTTCCAAGAGCCAACAGAGACTTTCTAGCACCCTAAATTTGGGGGCAAAGGAAGCGAGGTCATTCCTGGAAGACATTTTGCAGATTGTGCATTGGGGAAGTGTCAACTTTTATTCCAACATTGTCTGGAACTATATAACTCTTAATGATAACAGCTACAAAACTTATTAAGTTGATAAATGGCTCATAAAATAATCTTATTTGGAAGTTAATACTGAGCGATAGCAGATACGTAGATGGGAAATTCTCTGCAGATGTAAAAAAAAAAAAATCTCCAGTATAAGGACTTGATAATCCTGATGGATCAATGAAGGTCATAGCCAAGAATAAATGAACATACATTTAGTGTGTCAAAACAGACAGACAAAAGGTAAATGGCATTAATATAGAGAAACCATTTTTAGAAGACAGGCAGCATGGCATAGGTTTGGTATCAGCGAAACCTGACTCAAAATCCCAGGTCCTCCACTTATTAGCTCTGTAATCTTGGAGCAGCTTTCTAGAGCTCTTGAGCTTTAACCTCTTTGCCCTCAAAATGGAATAGTTGTGAGGGTTAACAAAATAATAAGCATAAAACACTGAGCTTCATATTTCTCACTTCAACTCCTATTCTATGCCAACTGCTATGCTGGAATATAGTAGGCACTCAGAAAAGGGTAGCCACCCCATTTGCTTGTTTGTTATTAACTACTTAGTAATTGTATGAAGTGCATAATTTTTAATGGTTTGGGTTCTGTCATCCTGAACTAGTATTTGTGTTTTTATTATAAACTGATGAGTTATAGATAGCTTTTGGGGAGTTATATGAGAGGAACCTGAACAAGATCTAACTGACAACTGCTGTAGAGGTTCTGGTTTCTTAGGTGTGCACACCTGGTGAGCATCCCCCTTCAGTGATGCCCTTTAAACACCCTGAAGAGTCAAACAGGTTACATAGCACAGAAATGGAAAGCAACAGAATGTCTTCTTCAAACTCAAATTCAACAGTTTGAATTAATCTGCTTCCTTTTCCCTTCAGAAGTTTTCCCCAAGGGGAAGAGTGGAGAAAGCCAATAGGACAAATACAAATTCTAAGGGGAAAAAGAACAGATTGAATTCCGCTTCATGACTTCCAGGTCTCTATGATCTAAGGAAAAATACTAAATCTTTCTAAGTTTGTTTCTACATCTTCACAATGAGAATAATAATGGCTACTTTAGAGGTTTTCGTGTTGGTTGGTCAGAGTTATTGTATCTAGCTCAAGACACCCCTTGGACACTCAGTAAATAATAACTAATGTTTACAGAAGACTTGCCATGTATTGGATACTATGTTTAGCACTTTAAACTCATTTACACATTAACTCAATAAATATTTCTCAAGTCAACTCCTGTTCTATACCAAGAGCTGTGCTAGGCTCTAAGAATTCATTGGCGAAAAAGGTAAACAAAATCTCTACCCTTTTTGTGTTCAGGAGATGGTCCAATAGGAGAGAAACACATTTCATAGACAATTGCTCTAATAAGTAATGTGCTGACCATTGTCATGAGTTTTTTAATGGAGGTATACAGGAAAACATCACCTAACTTAGTCACAGGAGTTGAGAGTTGTCATTTAAGCCAAACTTCAAACAGATAGGGCATCGGCCACATGAGGAGAGAAAGAAGGCTGTCCCAACCATTGTGAGAGTTCAGTGTCCAGAAGGAGCTCCATGCATATAAGAAACAAAAAGAAATCCATTGTGGCTAAAAAATGCTGAGCAAGTGGAGAGGATCAGAGATGAGGAAGAACAGTATATCGGTCTTTACCCTGAAAGCAATAAGCAGCAATGAAAGGGCTTGGGTAGGGAATGGCAAGATGCGGCGTGGAGAACAGCTTAAAGGGGAGCAGGAGTGGATATGGACTGAAGCAGTTTATTAATTCCAGGTAGGTGATGATATTCACTTGGGATCAAGTAGGGGCAACAGAGATGATGCTGAGAGGCAACCGGCAATGAGATTTCATATATCTTGTGTTTTTCATGTCAGCAAATAAGTATTAGATCATATATGAACCATATACTATGCCAGATTCTAAAGACATTTAAGGTCTAGTGGGAAAGAAAGCCACTAAAAAAGTAAGTCTCTTAACAAATATGTAATTCATAACTAGATACATGCCAAAGGAAGAAAAGCTGGGTGATGAGACAAAGCAGCAGAGTTAAAAGTGATGATCTGGAGAACACATTTAGTAGGTCAAATCAACAGGCCTTTACCACCCTGTAAGGTATTATTATTAATTTATTCGTTATTATTAAATGCAACCTGCGATGGTTAATTTTATATGTGCAGTTGGCTGGGCTGACCACTTGTTTGGTCAAACATCAGTCTAGATATTGCTGTGAAGGCAATTTTTAGATGTGATTAACATTTAAATCAGTAGACTTTGAGAAAAATAGAGAACCCTCCATAATGTGAGCGGGCCTCATCCATTCAGTTAAAGGCCTTAAGAGAAAAGACTGAGGTTTTCCGAAGTGATTCTTCTCAACATCACAACATAGAAATTATGCCTCCATTTCCAGTCTGCTACCCTGCTGAATCCAGGCTCAAGACTGCAAGATCAATCCTTATCTGAATTTCACATTAACTTTTACCTGAACTTCCAACCTGCTACCTACCCTCAAATAGACTTGCCAGGCCCCACAATCACATGAGTCAATTCCTTAAAATAAATCTGTTTCTCCCCCTCTCTTTGTACACACACACACACACACACACACGCACACACACTACATAAGTATTATATAATACGTAGAGAGAGAAAGAGAGAAATCCTATTGGTTCTTTTCTTTTGGAGAACACCGATTAATCCACAAGCTAACATTACCTATATCAAATCATATATAAAATTGTAAAACACTAAAATGTTGTATGTTTACTACATAGCAGCACTCAGATCCATATTTCATATTGAGTAAAAGGTATTTACCATGAAACAATGATAAAACAATTATCCAACATTTTTTAAAATCTCTGCTGTATAAAAAATTGACATAATATTATCCTTCCAGGATTTAGTGTAAAAAAATAAAATGGTGATGATGACTGTGGGTGATTTACACCATAGGTAAATTAACAGGATTTATGAGAATAAGTCTCATAAATTCTATTAAACATTGAAAATTTTCTAACCTATGCTATTTCCCTTTATACCTTGACTTCTGGGAAGCTCAAAGTAAGAGTGAGTGCTTAATTACAGTAAAACTATTATTTTCTATTTCTTGTACATTTACTTCTTCCTTTTGTACAAATTCTCGAATCCCCCTTTCCTCTTTATTTGAACTTTTCTTTAACCATATGCATTTTATATTTCTATTATAAGCGCCCTCAAACTATTTTGGAAGCAAGAGAGAATAAGCTATAAACAAATAAATGTGAGAATAAAGCTGAACAAAAGTGAAGATAATTGGATCCAGCAGACCTTTGGGGTGTCCCTCAAATTCTGCCATACAAAATGTGCATTGCATCTTTGCTCAGGCAGGCCCTCCTTGGAGCCCATCCCAGCAGCACTGCTGTTATATCTCTGCATAGTCCTCAACCCTGTGCCATAGAGAGTATGGAAGGATATCTTGTGCTAATTAGCACTGCATATTCCCCTAATGGGGTAATTGCGCAGGCTTGGATACCCAGAAAAAAGAAAAGGACATCTTAATTGCAGACTTCAAACTGGATTGTGGGCAAATGTAAAAAGAGCTGCCTGATCTAAAATGTGAGACCTCAACTTAACTACAGAAGTTGAGCAATAACGGCTGACTAGGGGAGGATAATCAACAATATTTTGCTTTATGACACTTAACTGTCCATAATTAGAGCCATTCTTCATTCATTCAACATACTTGTTTAGGTCCATTTTGGTCCTTACATTACAAAAATTCCACTATATATAACTATATCTTGTGATCTCCAAGAAATTAAAACAGACTTCGACTAGTAATACAATTTATACTCCTTTCTAGAATTCACTGGTATTCTCTCTCATTCCTAGAGCATGTTTTGGGCAAATAAAAAGTTGAGATTTTCAAGTTTCCGATTCACCTGTATTTTGAGCTACTGGTAAAATCTGGTCCTGAGACTAAGTCCTTGCCTTATCTTGCACCTACGTCCTTTGCTGAGATCTGTGGATTCTGCATCATTTAAAAATAGGTTTAGTTTATTGAAAACACCCTTTTAAAATAATCTTTGTCCTGTGCTTGAGCCTTTTTATTTGAGTTAACCTAGTTTTTATTTAAAAGTACAGATTCAATGGCTGGTGCTCAATGGTGAAATATGATCTTCTGGATTGCAAATGACTCTAAGAAACATTAGTCATTATATTATTATCTCATCAAAGAACTTTGTAAACTCTAGAGTGCTTGGTTATCTATCTTATATGCATAGTGGTATGCACATAAAGAGCAAAACTGAGTTATTATTTTATAACCACAGGTAGACTCAAGATTATAGAAAAGGAAATCATAGTACGGTACCTTTGTGGTTCAAAACTTAGGTGGTGGTTCCACGCCTTTGATGAAAGGAATTTGATAGTCACTATGTTGGGAAATCTCATATGCTAGATGAATTTTATTGAAGAATGCTTATATCAACTCAAAAA